TTAACTACATCAGATAATATTTTGATTTCGTAAATTACATGTTTTGGAGTTTTTTTTAATTATGACTATGAATTTCTATCTTAAATGTTTTTTCTGTTGAATATCTGCAACCTAAAGACAGAAAATCATCGCAAGGACAGACATGCATGTAAACACATCTATTACTAAGCTGGATTATTTTAAAATTAATTCCAGAACTCATCACGGAATTCATTCATCAGGGAATTGCATGCTGGCTTCATTTCTCAAACAGGATATGGTAGAACGAAGCCAGAATCTTTGCCTCAGCAGGAGTGTTGTTGTGGAGCCAGAGATGCAAGCAGAAAAGAGGAACCATACAGCACTCCGAACAAAATTTATGAGATTTACAACACAGAAAATCCCTTAACCAACAGGAAATAAAGACTTATGCCAAAATTCTAAGAGATATGTGACAACACAGGGTAATAACGTTCAGTTCCCTGGAAGAGAGTTTTCCTTCTGGGTTACTGGCACAGATAGATATTTTTTTTTTTACTGAAGCCATAAAACTGATTTATGGCAAAGATCTTTCAGAAAGCATTCAGGAAGCAGGCACATTCAGCTTTCTAGTAATTTTTTTAGGACTAGGATAAAAGTTCTGTAAATACTATATGCTGGTAGCAAAAAAAAAAAGAAAAAAAAAAAGTAGAAGGAAGCAAACCGGCAGAATGTTATACATTATATATTTTTATTAATATACCTTGGCAGAATTTATCTTAAGTGTCTTATGTCCTGGTGATTATAAAAGAACGGTTTTAATCTTGTTTTAAATGGCTGCTGTGAATTCAAAACTGCATACTAACTGCAACATCTGACACGGCTTTATCTGTTTATGTGGACTCTAGAACTTTAAGCAAAATGAGATTATACACTACAAATCTTCCCAGCATGAGATTATACCAGTTATGAGGTATGTGAAAAGTTGATGTTTAAGGTATTTGAAAGTATCTCTCTAAAGTGTTCTCCAGATGAGGTAATAGAAATATTTCTGCTGGGCAAAATGTTATGCTAATAGAGGAGACCCTGCATTAAAATGAACAAGCTAAAGGAGATACACAGTTTCTTAGTTGAATTATGCTTGTCATAGAAGCATCAAAGAAAAATAAAACACACTGCTATCTATAGATTCTTTTAATTCAAAAGCCATCAATCAGTATTCCAGTTCAATGTCTGAGTAATGCAACCTCTATCTGATGAAGATAAGAAGTGGCAGTTGCAATTACAAAACTTCACCATAGAATAAATACAGTTAAGTAATAGATTACAGTTAGATATATTAATGTATGGCTCATGCAAGGAATTCAGATCTTGAAAAAATCTTTCGAGAGAAGATTTAGGCAGCCTTAACATCAATGACAAAGAAGTTAGGCTGGGTACATGCTTTCAATCTACATTAAACTTAGCTCAGGAAGAAGCATGCTTTAATGGATAAAACAAATGATTGTGCTCTATAACTTGCTCTATCTAGTGGCTTATTTCACGACCTTGACCAAACCACACTGCTCCTTAAGTTTCTCTGATTTTAAAACAGCTAATGATTTTTACCTGCTCCTTTGAGACCGATGGGTAGACAACACTGAATAACTGCTACATAGAATGAAGCAGAAAGTAAATTCAGTATTTCTCATTTATTTTGAAAATCAAGGTAAGCTTTAAGGTTGGCTATTTTTTCTCGGTGACACATTTTTTTTCACAATGCATACCATTTCTTATTGAAGTGAGTTTTCAAGCAGACAGCATTCACTGGGTGATTTCTTCTTACTACCAAACTGAGTATCATGTCCACTAGTGACATTATGAAATGCCATTCCCAGAAGTTTACAGAGAAAAATTATTTGACTAGTAGCCTCTGTTCCTGATATAGTTCTCCTAATAGTGGTTTACTGCATAAGATTGTGCAAGGACAGAGTACCATAAGCTTTTTCCAGATAACAAGAAGGCTGAACTTTGTTCAAATACATAGGATTTCTCTTCCAGGCAGGCCTCAAGTATCATGAGAGGAATGTATCATGAAGGCTAATGTTAGCCATGGCTTTCATGACTGCTCACTCATTCCATAGACACGAGATTTGGGCCTTTTCAATCCTGCCAGCTTAGGCTCATTTTATGAGCAGCTTTGTTTCAAACTGCCACTTACCAATATTAATCTGTAGGACAGAGGAGAGAAAAGCTGTCTTCATTTCTTCATTCATAAACTGGAAAAGTTACTCAAGCTTTAACAAGGTACAGTATTTTGACTTTTCTTGACATTGCTTTCTGATATCTTATTACTTGGCTCTAAAACTTATTCCTGGTTTGAAACCTGACACAAGCTATGAGCTTACAGCTTTTGCTTTTAACAGAGATATTGGAAAACCTGAAAAAAGACACTTAATTCTTCCCATTCTCAAGTTTCATTATATGCTGTACACTGTGTGCCAATAGATTTTACTCTTGATCTTTCAAGGAAGAGGTGTGAGAACATGATTATCATGAAGATTAGGAGAAGGCACTTTTTCACTTCCTCAAGCATATACTCATGGCATAGGAATGGAATGTTTTGCCATTTTGTGCGTTTTTCTCTATGTATATCTTTCCTTTATGTATGTAGAGTTTTCCTCAAAGTTTAGCAATAAACACAGAGCAAAAAGAATCATTTCTAATTTTACGTGAACAGTATGTTAAAATTTTAGAGTTAATATGTGACAAGAGACAGGTCAGTATAACTGGCAAGGCAAAATCCCATAAGAACACTATGCATACAGTGGATGAATGATCTACAGGCTTAGAATTATCCACATGGGGGTTAAAAAAACTATCCATTAGTCTTATATGATTTTAGCAGGCATTTAAATGTAATAAGGGTTTTACTACCTATTAAGGTATTGATTCCTAGACTAAACATTCTCTTTGTGCATCTTAGCACAATGCTCATGAAGCATCACAGAGCTCTGTCAATTTAATACATTATGTTTTATTAATTTCCTACTTAGATATTTCCTTGATTGGTTAAATTTGCTGCCTGTAGGCTTGCTGCTTCTTTACGTGAAAAAAGCTCAAAAGAGCTATTACAAGGCTGTTGAATAACTGTGTGCTGAAAGAGGTCCAAGCAGAGAGTTTACAAAATGCACACACAGAAAAAAATACATACATTTAAATAAATAATAAGGGATGGATATAAACAAAGCACCACTGTGAAAACTTATACAATTATGTGTTTATGCTATTAATTAATTAGGACCTTATATGTACTGGATGTTCTCATCTCATAATTTATTTCCTCTAAATGTGCTTAGCTTTGCACATCTACAGCTGCAGAACTAGTAATTCTACTACTGGATTCTTTAGTAGTTTTAATAGACGGTAATTGCTGAATATCACATGACACAGTTTCAGTCACTTCTGCATCTTAACAAAATGACTTGAGGAAGCAAACTACTTCAGAGCTAAAATCAATAAGTATATAGAATCTATCACCATGAGCTTCTAGCACATACTCTAATTTTATAAGGCAAATGTACACCTTCTGTCTGATTAATTCCTTATACATCCACCACTAGGCAACTGGTGATAGAAGGTAAAACACACAGTGTCTTCTTATAAATTGAACACTCTTTAGTGTACTGAAGGAGGGAATAACTTCCAATTGGAGAAATAGAGTTGTAATACACTTAGAGATGATCATGCACGTGCACAAAGCAACTGATGTTGCTCATACAGCTGATTTTGAGTGTTAGTGAGTGACTGAGTTGGGAACAGTAGCCTTCCCATTCCTTGTTTTTAAAAGACATTTTGTTATACAGGTAAAATGCATAAATAATGAAAATGTATTTAAACTGGTTGATGCAATGTGTGGACTAAGAAAGAAAGTACATAGAGATAGGTAAAGACAAGCCTATTGTATAAATATTACATAATATTCTGGCAGAACAATGTTTTAAGAACTCAGAATTTGAAATTACTTTCTGCATAACATAATTCATAGAGTACCATTAGGAATGCACATCAGCATTAGGCATTGGAATAGGCTGACCAGGGAAATGGTAGAATCACTGTCCTGGAGGTGTGTAAGGAAAGTGCAGATGTAATACTTAGGTACCTGGTTTAGTGGGCAATATTGATTGGTGGACAGTTGGACTAGAGGACCTTAAAGGTCTTTTCCAACCTTAATGATCCCATGACTCTCTGATAAAGTTCTACTGCACATTCAAATTTTCTAGGCAGACACATTCTGAATATTTGCACAACTGTCATCTGTGCTTTTCCCCACAATAACATAGTGCTGCTGGATGAAAAATACCTTTCTAACACAAAGTTTCAAAATAAATAAAGATTTTTAGTATTTTCTCAGCACTAATTATGATTTACTTGGATTTATTTTATGTTTCCTAAACTTGCTGCAAAGATCCTCAAGAATTTTGTTAAATTGAAGTTGGTGTAAGTGAAGCTCTTGGTATAAAAATATTTCAAAAATCAAAGGAAAACAGATATATTTTCAACAAAAATATCCCCTTTTATGTTCCTTCTTGCATGTGATACACATTCAAAAGTTCCATCAGTTTTAAATGGGAGTTCTGGGTCCATCAGATCTGTAAGGCTTATTCTTCACATGGAAATATGACACCTAGAAAGGAACTGAAAAATATAACTCACCTTTGGGAACTTTAGCTGTGTTGTACAATTTGCCACTATGTTTAATATATTGCAAAGGTACCCCATAATAGCTAGTAGTTCTTTACAAAGGTCACTGTAAAATCATATCCTGTATTGCGATGTATTTCAGAAAGTGATCCTTGTCTTCCAGCAAGGCAGACACACTGAACTTTGTTAATAAAAGCGAAGTTTTCTAGGGTTATCGCTCTGACCCTTAAACTGTATTATCTAGAAACCCATAAGCCTTAAAAAAATAAGATATGAAAAGGTTTATAAAACATTCTGCTAACAGGTTCTGTTTCCAGCCTCACTTTTCAATCTGAAGTTGGTTTTAAGCTCCTGCCACCATGCCTGCTGATTACAATGGGACTTGGGAAATGGAATCCAATGAGAACTTTGAAGGCTACATGGTTGCATTAGGTAAAGTGAAAAATATTAACTACATTTTCATTATAAGTAAAATCTTTCTATAAATTAATAAGAAAATTTTTATTTTTGTATTCTGTCTTCTGCCCTAAGGGTTTATGTCAATCACATTAGAAATCAAGTAATTGTAATGTACACGCAATTACAATGACCTTGGCATATAAGAAAAAGAAGATTGTAGCCAAGTATATTGCTCTATATTGAAATTAAAATAAACAAGCAGATACATCCCATATCATTAAAGCAGCAGTTGTGTTTAGTATTTAATTAGCATTTTGAACTAGTGGGAATTGTATGTAGCAGTTGCATGGCAAAAGCTAGAAGAGCTGAAATGGGCAGATACTTCTGGGAATTTTTATGGGAATCATGCTTACACAGCAAGGAAGCTTAGGTCATGGGATCAGCTGAAGATGATTACAAAAGTTAAATTTCACTTCGCCACCACCACTGATGGCAACAATGAATTGTACATGCACAAAGAACTGTCCTGCTCCTTACACAACTTTCAGTTACTATTCTTTTGCTTCTTTATTGTTAGAGATCTGATAGCTACAGTTTGTGTATCTACTGTATAGGATACTAAGCATACTTTGTAGATGCTGGAACACCAAAGCACTATTAACTGCAAGCAAGTATTATTCTTGTCACTCCATATAAAGATTAAGTCTGTGTTGTTTGTAGACTTATTTTTCCCACACATATTCAATTTTTGCCATGACAGTGAGAAAGATTTTTGAGAGACATGTCTTCTTTTGCTTCACCTAGTATTTTCAGTACAAGTTGTCTTTCAGATATTTTATTCTCATTAAGATAAAACGATAAAAAGATAAAAATGACCTTGATTTTGCTCCAGGTCATTATGATTATGCAAGTAGTGTGCAGAAAATTCTTCCTCTACTAAGGTCAGCAGAGATGTAGATCTTTAATTTCTTAAAAAGAAGAAATTATAGACAAAATAAAACAGTTCTGATGAATTTCTTCAATAGAGAATGGATTGGCACTGAAAGATCAGTTACCTTTGTTCTACCATTGCAGTAACATGGCTGCATTTCAAAAAGCTGCAAAAAATATGGAAGTTAAATTTACACATGCACAAGAAGTCTAATTTTTAGAATCAGAAATCTTCTCCTGGCTTTAATACATCACAGATGAATGCCACAAAACATCGTTGTTTCTTTACCACTCATGATGTCAATATTACTTAGAAGAGTAATCACTGGAGCTGACTAATCTAACCTAGATTGTAGAAAGTGACTGGCTAAATTAGTACATGACAAAATTAAAGATATTTTATGTTTATGTTCACAGTTAATAGCCCTCACTGTCCCATTGTGCCTTTGTTGTTCCCATTCTCAGATGTTGTCTCACTATTTTCTATCTAATGGTCATTGATTTGTATCTTCTGTTCAGCATTTGATCTTCCTCTTATTCTGATTTTTACTGTAGCTGACACTAAGAGTTATGCTGATAAACAAGAGTTTTTTCAGTTCAAGCACTTTTCATGAGAAGTTAAGATCAAACTTCCAGTTTCCTTCTACTTTCCCCAAAAAGCTGTTGAGTTAATTTACTGGATATCTAGAGCATTTGCTTGCTCGGACACAAAAATAGCTACTACTAAAGGTCTTGATTATCCAAAGAAGCAGTGGTTCAAAATCTGTATAGCTACCTTCCACAAGTCAAGATAAATTCAAGATAATATGTTTGTTAGGAAGAACCGTGTAACACATTAGGAAACCAGTTAGTGATATCTTTAAAAAAAACCTCATATCCAACAATTCTCAATTCCTACACTAGTTGATTGACCTTAGGATAACTACCAGATATCCAGTCCTGAAAAACTGACTTAAAAAAACCGCGGTAACAAGATTAAAAGCACTTGACACTCTTGATAGCCTAAGACAAAGGAGAAAGAATGTGTTAGAATGAAGAATGCAAAACAGATTTCTTTTTCCTGGAAAATCCTTTGATTCGTTGCCTACTCCAGACAAACTCAAATGGAGAGAGAATGAACTTTCTGACAAAATTTTCAAAGTATTTTCACAGCAAGAACATCAGCAACTGGTTGGGATGGAGAAGGAATTTGCACTTATTGTCTGAACCTTGCTCCTCATATATATGTCATAATTTTTGGTGTATATATATACATGTGTTATACATTATACTAGTGACAAACTGCCATTGAATTAGTGGGACAGGGAAAAAAGGAAAAAAAAACAGTACAAAGATGCATATGGCTATAGGTGATTCTCAGAATGTGTCCCACGTTAACTTGTGATCAGTGAAAGGAAATGACATGGAAGGAGTGAAAAGACATTCTTCTGCTCTGTTCCTCCCGATTTTGCATATGGTTGATACTTAAGTATAAAAATGCTAAGGTTCAAAGCACATTGAGGGTTTTTAAAAAAATCTCATCCATCCTTATAATTAATACATATGTATTTCCATACTTTAATTAAAGAATAGTTTTGCCCTTTAAGCCAGAAATTTTGCTTTTATCACAAACACATTACAAAGTGTTTTAATCTACTATAATAGAACAATATATCATCTTTATTGCTTGTATTGTTCAACATGCAGTTATGAAAACCATGCTTTAATAAAATCTCCCAGTTTTTCTCCAGGAGCTACAAGACTAATATATTAGTCAGAAATAGCATTTCCTTAGAAGTCTAGACATTTTTTTTTTTCCACAGAGAGACCTAAATTTTATGTTACCTGGTTATAAATCAGACCCAGAGACACTTTTAATCCACCATAGCAGATAAAATATACCCCAGAAGTCTGGATATAAATACTAAACATTATTCCCCATGTTAAAAAAGTCACATTTTTTCTCAAGCCAAACCTCTCACTCAACTCAATTAGCACATCACATGTATAAGGAATCTACGCAAAGAGAAAGGACTCCATTAGTATGTTGCACTGCTGAGCTGACAATGATTAACTCACATGCAGAACTACTATGGGATGGATAACAAGCCAAAACCATTTTTCAGTAACTTTCAGAAACATGTGAGATTATTTCATTTGCATACAGCACTATATTAAGATTCATTGCCAGCTGGTCAGAAATATTTATTGCAGATGGTAATACAGCTGGCAAGAGGTGGACTGTCTGGGACAAACTGTCATGCTCATAATATATATTGTCCTTTCAGTAACTTTCAGTGTATTCCATTGCTTGCATTAAGAATTTAGTCCACATCATGAACATAATAAGGATGTCAAGGAGATCAGGACTGCATTAACTGTTTACAGAATATTAAAAATGAACTGTCAAATGCTGCAGTTTGATAATATTTGACTTTTGACTTTGAATCACTATTCCTCTAACAGCTAACTGCCATTTATTTGTCTCTTTGCTTTTTAACCACAACGGACAAGCCAATCATTTGTCTGTTTCTTTTTTACTCGTTAGGAACATTTTTACAATTTTTAAAATTAACTTCTTGTATGCTCCGACAGATAATAGGTTCCCTGCAAAAATATCATGCTAAAATCCAAAATGAGTGTGACCACATGCTTATTTTCTACTAATGTGCTTATTTTCTGAAAAGGCATGTTGTTCTGAGATCAATCTTTCAGGAGTGGCCAAAATTTGTAATACTACAGAATCCATATCAATACCCTCATGTGCCCAAGAGCTACATAATTTATACAGCAGACATAGAAGAGGGAAGGGCTCTCAAGAATGAGAAGCAAATGGCACTCCTAGTATCCCATAGCTTCCTGTGTGAGTGAAGCCAAAAAAAGAATATGTCTTGTTACTTCAACTCCAAAAGATCTGGAGATTCAGATGATTTAAGAAACCAGCATATATTAACTGTTGGTTGTTTGTTGGTCCTGCTCATAATATCCCCACAGACACTCTCTTAATAAGAATATGTAAAATCAGTAGAAGATCCTCAAGGTGAAAGTCCAGAAAATGGAAATTGCTGGCTTTTTTGAATGATCTTTTTCTTTGCAAATACTGCCGGTAAAGAGGTCATCTGTAAAATTACCTGACCATTAAACACAATATTATTTTTACAATGCATAAATATAAGAGTTGTTTTATTTTTGGTAACAAAAGTTGGAATTTTCTGTGCAATGCTTTCTTTTCTGTTTTTAAACAGACATTGATTTTGCAACTCGTAAGATTGCAAAACACTTGAAACAAACAAAGGAGATTATTCAAGATGGAGACAATTTCAAAACAAAAACACTCAGTACCTTGAGAAACTATGAACTGGACTTCACTGTGGGAGTGGAGTTTGAAGAACATACCAAAGGACTCGATAACAGGATGGTTAAGGTACATACCATCTGACTTCTCTTCACAATACAGTCAGTATCAGCAGTGGCAGTTCCAAAAACCAGCTAAATATGTTTTTTTTTTTTTTTTTTTAACCTGTGTAATCTCCTTAAATAGATTGTAAATCTATCATTCTGATTTTAGGATCTTCTCTGCATAAACATTTTAAGCTCTGAATCAGTAGGTTCACATTGGATTTGTGCTGCTCAGCCTCAAGTGGCCAGTTTAAAATGTAAATACTATTTAAAGGAAGCCTACACTCAGCTATTAAACATAAGTGAGATTTTAGAAGAGATAAGAAGAAAATGTGAGCCCATGTTACCATTGGTATAGATGCAAATGCAGGCCTACAGACAACCACAGGCAAGAATGCCTTGTAATGCAAGCTTTAATTACTTAAAGATTAGAGCTCAAAGTTCCCACAGGAAACCCTGGGCTTATCTTCAGACACCTTCAGTGTGTGTGGATGTTTGGATCAAGGACCAGATTGTGTATTAGCACATCCTCTACCTCTTACAATAGATTGAGCTAGAAGGTCTTGTGTGACCTTCAAACCAGACCACGTCAGGAAAGTTAGTGAGGAAAATAAGTATAATCACTGATTAAATTCATTTACTGAATTCAGCTTCATGTTTCTGTATTGATACTACTTCTGTTTTACTCTCTTCTCATCCCTAAAACATGGAAGCAATATTTTCAAAGGTAGAAAGGGTGACAGATTTTAAATTTTTATTGACTGTCCCATTCAGGGTCTTGAAAAACTTGCATCACTTGCCTGTCTTGGTCATCATTCCCTGAATCCCTCTATCAACTGATCTGACAATTATCATAGTTCCTCTCAGCTCACATCTCTCCTGCTATTCTCCAAAAAGATGCTGTCCCCTGCCTCATTATCTTCTCAATAAACAAAGATTCAGACTTTGTTGCCAAACTGAGTAGCTGAGATCAAAGCTCACTGTCAACAAGACCCACTTTGTTTTGGCAGTTGCCATGGGAAAGCACCATGTTTGCATCTGAACGCAGGTAATCCTTCACCAGAGTGACACAGATTATATTATAGAGTACATTGTTTATTCATTATAAAACACTTTTCATTTTTCAATCAGCTTTATGCAGTGTAATTCCTATGACTTCTTCCAAATTATTTCTCATTCGGAACTCTGTAAACCATCAAATAATAAGTCCCATTTTTCAGTATTTTGAACATCCCTACGACTAAATGTTTCCCTATTGCTTCCTCCAGTGAGCTCTGGGTGGACACTTTCCTGTGACAGAGCTTATGCTTTACAACTTTGCACCCATGTCTCTCAGACCTGCTGAAGATCTAATGAATCAACCATTACATCACTTAAATCCTTACATCTTCAACACCATAAAAGGCATTTTCTTTCTCTCTGTGCAAAATCATTTCACTTGCAGACTTACTGATTTCCTCTTTATTACCAATTACTTGGACAGAAGGAAGCACAGTTTGTACAATTATTCCCCTACCTGGCTTATTCATTTTTATATAATATCCTATTCTGAACAAATTATACTATTTGTTTCTAAAAAGAGGAGGAGGAAGGATGAAGCACATCAAGCCATTAATCTCCAGGCTACTCTAAAATAATTTTCTGGTCATTTATTAACAAAAAAAAGCCTCAAACATATGAAGGTAATAAAACTGCTAGGCAACATTTAAACATAAATTGGGCATGGATAATTTAAAAATACGGTAAATATGAAAGAACTTAACTGGAATGGAATGAGTTTTGTCTTGCTATTACTAGAAAGCTCCCTTGTAAGAGAAATAAATCATCCAACCCTGAACTAAAACATAAAGTAGAGTAACAGTAGTCTTGAAAACTTTTAATAACTCAACTTCCACTGACTGTAACTGGTCTCTGATGAGGATTTAACTATGATAAATGGACAGATGTCTTTCTAATTGACAATGGTTCAAATTTAGAGTAATTCAAAAGAAGTTAATCTGAATTTACCATAGCATACACAAGGGTCATACTGAAAGTAATGCCTCCTATTTTATTAAATCAGCCCACAGAGACAGAGGCAGATGATAGTGAGATGACAGTAGAGGTTATACCTTCCCACCAATATTCCATTTTGTTGCCATGTGACAGCAGAGGACAAGTCTGACAAAATGGTGTCTGTCATAGAATTGTGCCTAAAGCAAAGGCATGTAACTGAATTTCTGTGTGTGGAAAAAATTGCACCCACTGATACTCACTGACACTTGCTGAACATTTCTGGTGACCAAACAGTAGATTTGGTCAGCACAGTGAGACAGAAGCTGGTGCATTTCAGCAGTGGCAACAGCAACAGTGGGCCACTTCCACAGGTGCAGATTTTTACAAGCATGGCTCATCACTACCAAAAATGAACATTTAATGGTGGTGACTATGTTGAAAAACAGTGTTTTGTAGCTGAGAATTTGTGCTATCGAATTGTGTTATTGTGCTCTTTCTATCTGTTGTAATTTCCAAGGAAATAAACAAGAGACAATACTTTTGGAGCAACCTCTTATGTGTTGAAAATTGATCCTGTAAAGGGAACTCGCTACATATAAGATCCTCCTGCTCCTGGAAGAGGTCCATTGAATCCGATATCCTGTTTGTTAGACAGACTGAATCACGCAGAATCAAAAATGATTAAGAATGGAAAGGACCTCCAGAGATTTCTGACTCAACCCTTTTGGTAAAGCAGGGTCAGCTCGAGCACACAGTCCATCACTGAGTTCAATCAGGGTTTCACTGTCTCTACAGATGGATATTCCAGAAACTCCTTGTGCAAACCATGTCAGTGCCTGATCATCTTCACAGTTTAAAAGTATTATCTTGTGTTTAGAAAAAAAAAACAAAAACAATTTTCATGCAATTACTTTGGACTCAGCATTACACAGGCTGGTATGAATGCTAACTTAGTGTACACAAAGAAATACATGGAAATTGACAACAAAGCTCTGGAAAAGGTTCACTACTGTCATTTTGAAAGCATTCAGGGTTTTGAATGACTGATTGGTTTGAGTTTTTCTAGGAAGAACAAGGAGAGCAATGGTTAGAAAATGTATTTTTTTTTTTTCTCATTGTTTGAATTAGCTTATTTTCACATATTCATAAATTTCTTGCTAATATATCTGAATTAATTGATGCAGACACTAGTGACCTGGGATGGTGACAAACTGGTATGTGTTCAGAAAGGTGAAAAGAAAAATCGTGGCTGGAAGCACTGGATTGAAGGAGACCAACTGCATCTGGTAAGAGCTGCTATACAGAATCATAGCACATAACAGACTGCAACAAAGTACAGTTCGTCCATTTCAAAGCTTTTCTTACTTATTCTTTATTTAGACAGCTCTGATCTCTGAACTCGAAGGAAATCCCTCTCTCTGCTTCATCTCAGGAATGCTCAGTTTCTTTTCACCTGCTCCCAATTAAGACATAACCCTGCAGTGCTTTTTTTGCTCCAGTTCACTGTCCTCCAGCTATTAACCCTTCTTGTTACACTGTACCTCTAATGTCTTCTCATTCTCCTTTAATCACTGGTAGGAAAAAGAAGAAAAAAAAAAGGGAAAAAGATTGCAAGAAAAATGTTGGGTTTTGTCCCTAAAGAAGCACTATGTAATTTTAGAAAGAACTATGTAGGAATCCAGATCAGAAATCACTCTCTGGGTACTCAAGAAGAGTATTTCCAATTATTTTGTGCTTGTACAATGGAAACGGAAAAAACTGGAGCCTGAAAAGGAATGCAGTGAGTCTGATAGAGGCCAGAAGGGCTGTGCAGAAAAGGAGCACTCACTGGAGAATGGAAAGATTACAAAATAACAGATTACATAGTTAACACTATTCCAAAAGTTTCTTGGGAGAACAATCAAGAAATGGGTAAGATAATGTTGGATGGTACAGTAGGTGGGTGCAGAAAGATTATGAAGAAGACCTCATTAATTTCTGTCTCATGATATGCATTTAGATATCCGCTCCTTGCTAAGTTTACCCTACAGATAGTTGGTATGGTGAGCCACATTGCCTGAAGTCTGTATGCTTGAACAGTCAAGGCAATTAATTGAAAAAACAGTATATATCACTGAAAGCCAGTTGTCCAGCACACATTTTCATCTCCATTTTAATACATAGTCAAAAGCTGACCTAACAAAGATGCTATATGCTGGCTGCAAGATTGAGCCTAAGACTCAGGGGAGCAGAGAGACCAGGCAGACTCTCAGAAGAGTTCCCAGGAACAATCTTGCAGGTTAGGGCAACTGTTGGCCGAAAACCTGGCTTCAGTTCATCTTCAAGCCTTATCTGGCACAGCAATGCCTGCTAATTGGAAGACTAATAAAACACCGTACATTGTGATGTGCACGTGTGCCAGACTTTAGGAGATCAGCTGCGGTGCTATGCAAAAATGCCATCCCAATCTGACTCCTAAAAAATGGCTGGGCACTTCTCTGAAGTAAACATTCTTACGGTTTTAAAGCATCTTCCCTTTTTTGTTTGTTTTGAATTTCCTTGTTTCAATAATTCTCATGAATTATGAGATAACATGAAATATAAACTATTATTGTATGTTGTTTTAACAATGGAGCATGAAAAAACCTTCCACTAAAAACTACTTTTAATGTATTTTTCATATATATTCTTCTTAGAGCTCAATTCATGTGTCAAAATCTAATTACTGCAATATGTGGTGCATGCCTGCTGATTGTTTTTATAGAATTCACTCTTCTTTCCTTATGTTCTCTTCTTCATAAGTGTATCTTTGTCATGTAATAGCACAGTTGTAGAAATTACAAGGCAGGGGAGCTTCTGGCTACGCAACTTGTACCACTAATTGTTTTAATTCTGTAGGAACTGACGTGTGAAGACCAGGTGTGCCATCAGATATTTAAGAAGAAAAAGTAACCGGAAAACCACTTAACCCTTCATCACTCTATTGTGCTGATATGTTTTGTCGAAAAAAAGAAACAAACCAGATTTTGTAATAACTCTGAAACAGCTATGTGAATGCAATTTTGTGCATGTTTATGAAGAGAAACATTTTGTAGAAATAACATTAGTTACACACAGTATCATTATTTTCTTTTTTCTTTTCTTTTCTTGGAGTTAAATAAAAGTAATTGTCTTTCAAGTTGTGCTTTCCTATATCTTTACAATCTATTTAGTCTTTTCCAAAAAAACATTCCTTAGCAACAAAGCTGAAAATTAGCAGTCACCTCAACCACAGAATGTTATGTATATACATACATAACGTTACGAGAGAATGTGAAATGCGGTAGCTCCTTGAAGCAGTCAGAGAACTGGCACTCTGCTAATAATCCCAGTGCAGAAGCTGTTAGAAGCACACCACTCCATTCAGGAATTTCTCCATGAAGTTAAAGCTAAGGCATACTTATGGCTATCAGGAAAACTGATGAGTTTACATAGACTGCATGTATGCTGTGCATGTGGAGTTTACACAGACTGTGTGTATCCGTGCATAAAGAGTACCCAGCATACAGCAGTCTTCGCCTCGCACCTCACTTTTAGAGTTTAAAAAGAATTTTAAAAGACTTTGAAAAGTAATTTCCATGCAATTGTCTTCCATTTTATTTAGGGTTTTTCAAAAGACTTCATCTTTTTGCTATAGGCAAGTTTAAATTTACCAGGGATGGTGAGAGCTACTTCTCTAGGTGGAAACAAATCATTCAAGAGAACACGCATGCATGTTCCACTGAAGAAGGGTTTGTACGTACAAAAGCTCGTCTGCTTTTTCCAACTATGAATCATTTGCAAAAGTCCAAATCTGATTAATATATCACTAACACTGACATGGGCAGGCGCACAGGCGTGTAAATACCTATGCAGTGCCATTTTTATGAATTAGACTTTGCTCCTCCTGATAAAAATTTGATACTTCTTGTATGCTTTAACTGAGCAATGCTCTAATGAGAGTTCACAGTGCAGAAACTGCACTTGGAATTGGTAAATTCCTTCTTATTGTTTTCTATTCAGCCCTGATCTGAACTTCCCTATAGAAACATACTTAATTCCTACATCTAAGCCCCTTCTAGTTATTAGGCTTAGAAGGACCACAGTTCATTAAGCTTTCAAAATATTATCAGAACTAAGTAGTGACCACAATAAAGAATGTGTACGTCATAATCAGTGGCATTACTCATATTTGGCTCTTGCCAAGAGAAAGCCTGCACAGCACTCCATACAAATCATTAAACAAAAGTTCTTACATATCCTGAAGAACAGTAATTAACTTACAAATGATGAGAAAATCATGAGGAGATTGAAGAGGAAAAAAAGCACTCATTTCTTAATAAGTTTACAAGTCGTATCTAGTGGATATGGATGGGAAATAAATGAAGTAGGCAACGTGGCACTAGAGTAGACTTTGATGAGAGAGAAAACTGCATCTGACCTCATGTTTCTGCAAATTCAGAAAATGAAAACTCTTGACTTTTTAATAAGGGGAAGGAAAATGTTCAAGGTTATTTATGCCCCAAAACAGCAGTTTCTTCCTGCACACACTGATATGCAAAACCTTGCAGCCTTCTTTATAACTACATACACAGAACTGGAGACAGAGGAGATACTTATTACACTGCATTATAATTACTTCCAAAGGTATACTCAATTGCATGATATGTGTGATGTTAGGTTAGTCTCTAAGCTCCACAAAACCCCTTACCTTTGTCAGCAGATTAAATACTTGCACTGAAGGAACAAATCTCATTGGTCAACCACAGAATGCTTATCCACATTTTTCAGCCTTCTGGCATGTACTACTGTGCAATTCCTAATGAGTACAGTAAGAGTCAGAACCATTGCCTGTCACTGGACTTTTCAAACCACAATGACACAAATGGGCATAGGAAATATTTATGATAAGATTTCTAAAATTTTCTGCATTGAGCCAGTTTTGCTCCTGGAAAGTCACATGATGAAAAGAAGGCAACACTGCTGTAGGATAATGTTGTAAATCCTCCCCCTGGTAATGCTCTATGGTTACTTCGTAAGATGCTGTCTTTCTGTTAAGCTCTGAAAGTCCACATAGGTTGTCTGTGCACAGAATGGCTTTCAATTTTCCCATAAATATCCTACTCACTCTGCTGATTTGCTGCATGTGAAGCATGTCTATTCCACTGCCATCTGGCAAAAAATCTGAGGTTTCTAAATCAGCATTATTTTACAATCTAACAAAGGCAAATAGAATTTCACTTCCAAAACAGTCATTTAATTGCATTTTATGCTTATGTTCTTTTTGACCAACGGCACATAATTCGCCCTAATGCGGGGAGAGACTAATAGAAAGGATGGAAGCATTCAGATTTACTCTGAAGGTTTTTTGTCCTCTAGAACACATTATTTTCAGATTTAATTCATGCTTGAATGGAAGGGCAGAGTATGTTTTAATTTCAGCTTGCTGATTGCACACGTTACGTAGATGATGAAGATTAGAAGAAATAATTTTGTGTATCTGATCACTTGTTTTTTCAAAACGCACTCTTTTCTTTCTATATATGTGTAGGAAAAACGAATGATAACAATTGAAGAATATGTATTTTTCTGGAGGTACCCTAAAGCTAAAGATTGCTTAAATTTGCTGAGTGATCAGATGTAGCAGAAATGCTAAGTCATGGCCTGAAGCAGTGATTGAGCACCTGGTGGAAGGCAGGGCCAACCCAGGGGAGCTCAGGTGCATGCAATGTATCTGAGTGACCAGAAGGTATGGAGCCAGGATCCAGACCTCATTTAAGGGCTGGCAGTGGAGGCAAGGGTATCTTGCTGGAGAGCCCTGCCTGAGTCCTTCCAAAGGTATGCAGTTTTTCTTCCTTTGTTTCTGTGTCCCCAGTTGCTGCATTTTCGTTTGTTCCTATTTGCTTCAGCTGAGGATTGTGCCACCCTTCTATTATTGCTGTACTTTCCATCGTGTTACACTAGACTGATGGAGTGTTTTTCCAAAACCTACTGCAGAGTAGTTGTCCTAAAATCCAACTGAATTTATGTATCTTTTCAACACATGGATTGAAAAAACACTTCTTCTCCACTTCTAGTGTTAGAAGTTAGTGCTCCACTTCTAGCTTAATCAATAAAAGGCTAATGTAATGTAGTCACAAAAGCAGGTAAAGTCTTTGTAAAATTCAGTTGCTATCAAAAGCAAACCAAGTATATGCCCCCAAAAATGCATAAATTTATCTTCTCAGTATACTTCTTAATTAAATTTCAACTTCTGAAATTATTATAAGGCATCAAAATGTAGACTGGAGCATCATTTTGCAAGTAGTTATGTATAAGTCAGAGCTCTTCAGTGGAGTCAATTATTCCATTCAGCCAGATCGGACCTTGAAATCGGGTCATGCACATCTGATAATACAGAACATACAGACTCTGAAGCTGCAGAATTTAATGCATTTAGAATTCAAAATATCAGTGCCAGGAAACTGCTTATTATGATTCACTGTTAACAATATCTGCCTCAAAGATTCAATAAATAAAGACTGCAAAACTTCCTGAAGATATTAGGAAAAAGACGTTTTAACTTAAAACGTGTATTTTTGTTAAGATGTTCAAAGTGCACAACAAAGAATATTCCTATGTGACGAATGGGATCTTTTGTTATGTCAAAAAACACTTAAATGTCAGTTCTCAAATTAGATATGTATCATACTGATTTAAAAAAGAAAAAATTACCAGCAAATTAATCTAAATCAGATTCTATACTTTTTTTTTTGAGAAGCCAGTATCAGTAAACTAGTAACAAATATCACCTGGACAATGAGCTCTACTAGTTAGGGGATTAAGGCAGAATTGAGTTGCTCTCTTTGTGGGGGGAAGAAAACAGCCTCTAAAAACACAGATTGCTGTTTGCTACTAATGGGTGCCTTGAGTAGCATTACAGCAAATTGCTTTCCTTGATGGCATAAACTGAATACACAGAAAACATGAATGCTTAGTTAAAATGCTAGTACATCAAAAGTCACTACAGGAAAATAAGTGTTTTCCAGAGAAGGGCATTGTATGATCATAATTGAACTATTTCTGTTTTAGTGAACTTGTGCCATTTAAAGTGGGAAGTGGGACCAATTTTTTTTTTTTAACTGTCATGATGATTGCGAAGCCATTCTGCAGCAGTGCAAAATGAATGCTAACTATGACTAACCCATAATGGCAGGAGTACATTAACTGTTAGCCACTGGGCTGTAGACTCCAGTGTGGCCCTCAGAGAAAGTCTAGACAGCTCCAGTCCCTGCCACAATTTGGGCTCCCAGATACAGTATCTGCTTATAGCACCAGGTTACACGTCTTCCTATTGGCATCACCTTGCTTAGACTGTCTTACACTAGGACATCTCCGCACCATGAAATTTTATAGGGGCAATGCAGAACTCAAGAGGGTAATATTTATCAGTCAATTATCTTATAAGTGGCTGAACTTTTTCAATGGAACACTTTAAGTCAAAGGAATTGCAGAACATATTTTAGTAGGGTTGGCCTATAATGCAGGTCTCTATTTTATAACTGCTGAAGTTGGATATTGTCTCTTCTAGACATGAACTCAACTAATAAGGCTGAACTTTCTCAACAACACCATTGAGTATGTATAGGAAGATAGCAGTGTCGTATTGTGTAAAATCTGGTAGAGGAAGATTTTTGTGAAGAATACAGCCCTTTCTCTCACACACACACACACACACACACACACACACACACACACACACAAATGTGAAAGGAAAGAGAATCTTAAAAGCATAGAATGGCTTAGATTGGAAGGGACCTTAAAGATAACAAGTTCCAACCCTCTGCCGTGGTCTGGTTGCCCACTAGATCAGACTGCTCAGAACCTCAACCAGTGTGGCCTTGAGCTCCATGGAGATGGGCATCCATATGGCCAGCAGGAGCTAACTTCATGCCAGAAACTGCTCACCTGCAAGTGTCTGTATTAAAATACTGCCTAACCGAAGATGAGGAGATCCCATTGTTCATTGAAGGGGAACCTGTTGTGATATTCTTTAGATTAATGGTAAACAAGTTCCAGGTAGAAATATTCACACAGCTTACTGTAAAGTGAGCAATCTATGGTAATTTGTTCTACCACAGTAACTTGTTTGTGTATCACAGACCTGAGTTCAACTACTAGAGACTGACAAATAAGGAATCAGAAGTACAGCACTTGTCTTGCTGCGCTGACTGATCTGTAATCAAACAGATTTCAGTCTCGCACTAGCCTGGCCCACGCAGAAATTATTTGTGGATATAAATATGTTAATATCAGCATCAGCGATATGTACCCACACATTTGTAAAAACATAAAACAAATACAGTTACACTAGCATTAAAATGTGTTACAGAAGTATAGTTTAATTCCCCTTTGCCTTCCCAGTAAGGAAAAAAACACACTAGATGGAACACATCTTTTTAAAGTTTACAGGAGTGAAGTTAAAGGCAGCAGTCAATATTATAGTTAAATAATATTCAGTAAAATTCCTTCAAGGTTGTCCTTTAAATATATGTAGCCATATTCTAAGGCGCTCTTCTCCAGGCGGGTTTCCTTAGACCCGCTCCAGGAGCTCAGCAGCGCACACGAGGCGGGAAGCTTGGAGAGGCGCATAAGATGGAGGCGCCACCTGGCGGCCGAGCTCCGAACGCGCAGCCCGGGGATGTGCGCCCGCTAGCCGAGCTCACGGGGTGAGCGCAGAGCGACACCGTCAGAGCTGGCATTTTATGGCTCCGCACTACCTAGAATAGTAGCATTAAGAAAACTTTTTTGTTTTTAAGAACATAAGTACTAAGGCAACGTGTGTATGCAAAAACACCACTTCACAAGAGCTTTTACTTTGAGAGAATTCAATTCTAACTACGTGTAAGTTACTCATTAGTAATTTACTAATTTTACTAACGTTACTAAAAAGCATCCAATTTAATTTGAGTGGCCATATAAAAACAGCCCTTTCATATAGGTGAATTCAATTTACCTCTTCACAAAGTAAAGGATATAAAACTAAGTAT